TACAATTCAATCATAGACATGATCCCTTCCAGATATCACCAAACCCCCCACCCCATTACAGAGGAACGAGGGACCTACCTGCTCCAGCCGGTGAACAATACCTCCTTAACGACCAACCCTTAACAATCATAGACAGGTTTCAGGTATCACAGGAGACAATCCCCCCTTTAACGACCGACCCCTAGAATCATAGACAGGTTTCAGATATTACAGGCTAACGATGGAACCAAACGACCCATTCATCGGTTACCATTTGCATGTTTCCAAGCGATACAAGGCTTTGTCTATGTAGGACTCAAAATCACTGCGGATCCAGACATTTGAATTGAGAAAGCTTCCTGGATAGGTGGAGAAACGTCTTCAAATCTTGGAAACCAAGTCCAGTGGATTTTTTTTTTTAATTTTTACGGAATGACTATGACCTGGATGACTGAGAATCTTCATCAGCATATTGTTAGACAATCCAAATAAAAGTTAAAAACAATCCACTGGACTTTGTTTCCAAGTTTGAAGACGTTTCTCTTCTCATCCAGGGAGCTTTATCAATTCAAAATGTCAGGAATAGCGTTGAGTTCGAGGTTTTATAAAGTAGCTCAACAAAGAATTGCTTTTGTTTAGAAAACATGCAAATTGAAACAGACCAATGGGTCCACCCCTTTGAAATGGGGGTCGTTTGGCTTTTTTTGTTAGCCTGAAATGCCCCATACCTGTCTCGTACTCGTACTCGTCGACTCCCGCTTTATCCGGAACCGGGTCGTGGGGGCAGCAGACTAAGCAGAGACTCCCAGACTTCCCTCTCCGCTGACACCTCCTCCAGCTCTGTTGGGGGAAGCCCTAGGCGCTCCCAGGCCAGTCGAGAGACATAGTCTCTCCAGCGTGTCCTGGGTCGTCCCCTGGGCCTCCTCCCGGTGGGACGTGCCTGGAACACCTCCCGAGGGAGGCGTCCAGGGGGCATCCGAAGAAGATGTCACCTCAACTGACTCCTCTTGATGTGGAGGAGAACCGGCTCTACACTGAGCCTCTCCCAAATGACCGAGCTCCTCACCCTATCTGTAACTCTATCCCCTCCTTGAACCGCCACCTTAACGGGGTGGAGGGGTTTCAGTGCCTGGGTGATCCCAGAGGCTATGTTATCGGGGGCTAAATGCCCCTGGTACGGTCTCCCAAGGCAAACAGGCTCAGGGTGCCAGGTCAGACAAAGAGCGGTTCAGAAACCCCTATGACAAGGACTAAAACGAGGCACGTGACGTCGCCGGACCCCAACCTGGAGCCAGGCCTGGGGTTGGGGTTCGTCGGCGAGCACCTGATGGTCGGGTTCTTCCTCGCGGGACCCGGCCAGGCCCAGCCCGAAGGAGCGACGCGAGGCAATCCCCCAGTGGGCCCATCACCTGCAGGGGGAACCATGAGGGACCGGTGCAAAGGGGATTGGGCGGCAGCCAGAGGCGGAGACCTCGGCGACCTGATCGCTTTAACTGGCTCTGGGGATGTGGAATGTCACCATACCTGTCTAAGTGTCTGAAAGGGGGGTCGTTAAAGGGGATTGTTGGCCTGAGTGAACAGGTGAGGTCCTCCGCTCTCCTTTGCAGGGGCTGGGGCTACAATAATAATGGGAAGGGATTAACTCAGTTGCTGCATTGTAGGTTTTTGAAAGCTGAAATTAAACTAAAATTGAACTTTTTTTGGAATGACTATGACCTGGACGACTGAGAATCTTCACCAACATGTCGTTAGACAACATTATAATCCGAAGAACAAATTAATTTGTGAAACTAGCCTATCCAAAGTTGCAATATTTATCAAATGCTTTTATAGTATTTCATTTGGATTTAACAAGAGAGTTTTAAACTGAAACCAAAGGCAGACTTTTCTTGACACTTTTCTCCACAGCCAGTGGCCGTGGCAGGAAGGGGGTGGGGGACACATCTCCAGTTTAAGGAGGATTTACTGTATATGCACAAGATTAGCAAACTCTGGACTTATCAAATTATTTATTAAATTAGCTTCTTTTCATGTCATTTCTGTGTCATCACATTTCAAAACTGCAAATAAAGCTGTTTAGTGACTAAAATGACACAAATAGTTCCCACTGAGGTATCTGAATATAATAGACTATCCTAAACGAAATCTTCTCCAAAGAAGGCAATAATCAACTTGTCACAGTCATGAAGGCGGGCCGTGAAAGGCCACGCCGCTGTGTGGAAGTGTGTAAGCTCATGGGCCTTGTGTGCGTATGTGTGTGAGTGGATCTCCTGTCTGTCTCAAGGATTTGCTGTTTCAGCAGGGAAGGAATCAGTCCTGTGCCTTTGCTGTTGGGGAAAGTCAGCGTAAGGAAATTCCTGAGCTTCACAGTGGCAATCAGGCAGTTAAGGAGCTGCCACTGAAAATGGAGCTGTGTGTCACTCACTTTCATGGCTTATTCACACCAAGAACAACTGCTTTGGCATAAATAGAGGTCTCCACTTTCCCTCCCTCGACCCGAACCATCTGAGAAAATTGTCCTTACTTGAAAATGGGAGTTTGTTTAGCGCTGATGTGTCTAAAAAGCTTATATCTCGCACAAGATGTGTGGTTATATTCTTGTAACAAGTTCTAAAGCTGCATTTAGCCAGAGCTGAAAAGGTTTACTGCTTGGCATACTTAAGATTCCAAAAAAAGTTTAAAAAAAACAATCCACTGGACTTTTTTTTTCAAAGTTTGAAGACGTTTCTCTTCCCATCCAGGAAGATTTTTCAATTCAAAATGTCAGAAATAGCGTTGAGTTCCAGGTTTTATAAAGTAGCTCACAAAATCTTGTTTTTGTTTAGAAAACATGCAAATTTAAATGGAAGAATGGGTCCACGCCTTTGGAATGGGGGTCGTTTGGCTTCTTTGTTAGCCTGCAATGCCCCATACCCATCTATATTAGAGACTGACATGGGAGTGGATTTTCACTCCTGTCCCGTCCCACTCCCACGGAAAAAAAATGTGTCCCATCCCGATCCCGGGCCAGAGTAGCAATCTAAATCCTGTCCCGTCCCACTCCTGGTGAAATTACTCCCACTCCCATTCAGAATGACTCCCGCACCACTCCCATTCTTGTTGTTTTTGAGCGCGGGTGAAAAACTCAAAGCGGAAGCACTGTTGGTTTTTGGGTCGTGTAGTTTTTTTTGACTCGCATTATAGTGTAGGCTTCAAGGAAAAAAACTACAAAATGGCCGCGCCAGTACTGGATTTTTTTCTTTCTATTTTATTTTATTTTTTGGCAACGATCCTATTTTTTTTTTTTAGTTACTATCGGTTTGCTCCCGCTCCCGTCTGCTCCCGTTAATGTTTAATCCTGTACCGTCCCAATCACGTGATCGTTACTAATACTGACTCCCATCCCACGGGAATCCCGTGACCCGTGGGATTCCCGAAAAAATGTCAGTGTCTAGTCTATATCTGTATTACTTTATCGAGATTGTAATCAACAACAATGTTATTTTAGTTTGATTACATAGTTCATTTGCTTGCCCCTATTTGGTGAACATTAAAGACCTTTTTGAACTTGATATAACTAATAGCTTTTTATGGGGTGCCGTTTGTGAAATTAAGCAGTCAAAAATTAGGAGCATTATTTATGGTTTTGTAGCGTCTTTTAATAGAAAAATAAGGGGTTTATTTTTTCCAAGTCACTTTTTCACTATGTGATTCATTCATTTATAAAAAATCTTACTTTGTTGAATATTTAGTTTAGCTAAATATTTATTTAACAAACTACATATTTAATTTGAAAACTAAATATTTAGTTTGAAGCTAAATATTTATTTTAAATAAACAAACATTTAATTTTCAAACTAAATATTTCGTTTGAAGCAAGATGTTAATTAACAAACTAAATATGTAGTTTTGCGGCAATTATTTATATTTTAAAACAACTAAATAGTTAGTTTAGAGCTAAATATTTCTTTAACAAACTAAATATGTAATTTGAAAACTAAATATCAAGCTCCAAACTAATTTTTTATTCAACACAGTAAGATTTTTATAAATGACTGAATTACATAATGAAAAAATGACTTGGAAAAAAATAAGGCCCATATTTTTCTCTTAAAACAAACAAAATAACCATAAGTTTTGACTGCTTAACCAATGGCACCCCATAGATTTCTTTATTTAAATGCATATTTCTTCACAAACTAGTCTGTGGAAATGATAACATGGCAGCTAAGTGGCATTTTGCCACTGGTATCATCCAGTATCTTTTAGTCCAGATTAACTTTTATAACTTTAACATCCAGTTATGCACCACAGATAATATAAGGAGCAGAATGTTATCAGTGGAAACAACAAATAAACAAGTGGTTCTGTTTTCAAAATCCATTTCATGAAAGCTGGAATAAATTCTGCTCCACATCTTCTTTCTTATGTTATTTATTGAGATTGTGTAAACATAGTAGATATTTACACTGCAAAAATTAAGATATAAAGATATTATTTTCCTTGAATTTTAGTAGCAATTAAAAAGATTCAGTTTTACATTAAAATAAGGAAAAAAACAACCCATCTTATTTAAAGTGTACAATATGTAATTATCTCATTTTATGGGCAACATAGTTATTCTATTGGCGGATCATCTTAGTTACCTGCTTAAACCAAGAGCAAATGCACTTATTTAAGGAAACGTCTTTGTTTTTAATTAGTTTTAGCAGTTAGATGTACACATCTAACTTTTCATGCGAAACGTTCTTCAATGCTATAATAGCAACAGTAACCAGGACTTTAGGATTTTATAATTTAACTTTTCTTTGATCTGTGCCTCTATTTACGGATGGACAGACCGTGAATTAGATTAATGTTTGATATTTATAAATATGAGCTTATTCAGGAAGAAAATACTGCAAATATTCTGGCTGCTAGTTGAACATTAAATATGTTAAGAAAACTCATATTTCCCATAGTCTTAAATGCAACGCGACGTAATCTGGGAGAGCTGCCGCAAACAACAGAAGCAGTGTCGTGAAATCTCAGCGATGGTGTGTATGAAAAAGTGGATTGTTATTTTCTCTCGGTGAAAACAGTTTTTTTACGGAGATCATTGTGGAAACTATGCAGTTTTATCGCAGTTAATTTCTTCACCTGAGGCGGTGACGCGGATTAACGCCAAAATGAAGCGTGTGTTTAAATACAGCTGCCGAAAAAGAAGTTGAGCTTTAGAAGTTGAGCTTTACCAAAAGAAAACCTGGAAAATGGAAACTCGCAACAGTGAAGGTAAAACAACGCTGTTCCTAAATAGTTGTTGTTTCCAGTGTAATGAATGTAACCAAGCAAAGGTTGCTGTAGGGACTCTGTTTTTCTTTTCTCCAGTTGATGGGGGACCCTGCGCTGTGGTGGAGGTGAGCCCAGACATCCACATCTGCGGCTTCTGCAAACAGCAGTACAATAATTATGAGGCTTTTCTCGCACACAAGACAAACGGATGTTCTCTTCCGTCTCACGCTGCGGCCAGCTCTGCTCCAGCTTCCCTGACAGGTTCGGGTTGTATTTTTAAAGCCGTTTTTTGTGTTTGTTGTGATGAAAACTCATAAAAACTGTTTCCAGGCTGGTGCTGTTCTACCTGGCGGCCACCAGGGGGCGCCAGAACAACTTTAGGAAGGAGAATTTTAGAAAATCGTCTGTTTATCACAAAGTTAGGGTTTTTATTCCCAAGACTTTTGGGAATATCGATATAAATGGTAGTGATAGGTTAATGAGGCATTTTGAAGCGTTTTGACACATTGTTAAAACTGTCTCACGGAATACTGACACCTGCTGGACATTTAAAGACACTACAGGCAGCTTATTTGACAGAATAAACTGAATTGATTTGATGGCTGTGTTCGAATTGAGGGGCTGCGTCCTCCAAGGACCGGAAAAGCAAAGCAGGAAAATAATGAATACCGTTTAACGTTTTTAAAACTGTTTATTTATTTATTTTTAATTGTAAAGTGAACAAATACTACACCGACAATAAAATAGAGTGGAATAAATGTTCCAACCACCGGGAGCAGGAACAAATAAAATCAAATGTAATGATAGAAGCCTTAGTCAGTTAAATAACATGCTTCTGTCATTTTGCACATCTCTAATGTTGCTGCTATTTTCAAATACTTTACCATTACTGTAAAAATGTCCATAGCTGTTTATTGGTTATTTATTCTCCAGGTGAACAGTTTTATATTGTTAAAACACTTTACATTATTTTATCGTTCATATTTGAACTCTTCCCTGTTATATTATTCTTATACATTTTTCTGTCCTTAAATTACAGCCAAAGCCATTTACACAGTAACAGATAAAAACCTTTATATAAATCAAAAATTACCGCCACATATTTGACTCAATAACCATTAAACCAACTATTTCCATTTATTTCAGACTAAACTAGATTAGATTAGATGAGCTTCATTGATCTCACAGCGGAGAAATTCACTCGTCACATATTGGCATAGAAGTTACAGAAGGTGCAAACAAGGAGGAAAAAGGTGCATTAAGAATAAACAATATATACAGTATATCAAGATAAATAAGGATTAAGGTGCAAGTGTACATGTATCGCACACAATGCAAAACGTAATAAAAATATGAAATACAAAATACAAAACTATTCACAAGTTGTATTATTTTAAAGTGAACTTCCAATATTCACCACTGTTCGGCACCAAGAACCTTTTTACTCAGATCACTGAGCAGCTTGCTTCCTTGGTCTCGCAATGAATCCTGGGATATCCAAGGATAGCGAGGATACATCGGACCCGTCCTTCAAATCAGGCTAAAAGAAGGACGCATTTTAAGGCCGCATAACGAGGAGTCTTGGAATCTGACCAGACATCGGCGCCGCACTACGACATAGTCAGCCTTAGAATCTGGCCTTCTGAGGACGCAGCCTATTAATTCCAACAGAGCCGATGAACTAGTACAGGGGTTGGCAACCTGCGGCTCTTTAGCTCCACCCTCCCTGGAGCTTTTTCAAAAAATTTATGAAAATAGATATTTTTTTTTTTTTTGTATGTGGTGTGCAGGAGGTCAAACAAACATTCATTATGTTTTCCAATGCTGTAAACATTTGTATAATAAATAAAATTAACCCTATAATGCCAAATGTATCGTATTTGATACATACGGTTTCTGAAATGTTTTGCGTCTGACACCTTTTGCTTAATTTAATAGTAAAAACTTTGCTCAAAATCCTATTTTACACAATCAGATATACCTGATAACAGCCAGTAGAAGACTACGCAAAAAATAATCTTGACTTATCGCATAGTAATAAGTTATTAACATCAAAAATGTATTTCTGTTTTTTCTTTTTACATATTTTGTTAAAAGGCCAAATAAGGACTTCAAACCCAAAAAAAAGTAATTTTCTGTTTTGTTTTATTCTTGGATCGGGCTTTAAAGGGTTAAAAAATAAATGTAAACATTTCTTTCAATGAAAATTAGCATCATAGCCATAGAGAGAGCTGCGCAGCGCGGCGCGATGCCAGGCAAACAAACCCGCAGGTGTGTCTCGGGCCATGGATCCCAAAGGGGTAAAAAGGAAGCTAGTTGATGTGAGCAGAGGATTCAAAGAAGACACCTTGCCAACCTTTATTGATAGTGCATAAAAACTGTCATCAGCAGTTTGTTGAATTATTTGTGGGGATCTGATGGTGTTAATATAAATAAATGTTATTTTCCTAATGCTGAACACATGTATGAAATATATGGAAGTAAATATGTGCCATCAGAATTTGAATAAAAAATACCTCTGAAATTTGAATGTTGTATATTAGTGCTTACTTTTTCAGTATTAAAATAAATTCAGAATATGTTTTTAACCTAAAAAAAATTCAATGTCATTATTTGTACATAAAAAAAAAAATTCAGTGTAATTTTTTTTACATGGTTGCAATTTTCAGTTATTAAAAAAATTCACATTCCTATTTCAAAGTGATAAAATTTTCAATATACATATTTTTCAGTTTAAATTTTCAGTGTTAAAAAATTCAGCATATAAAAAATTCAACTTTTCAAAATTCAAATGCAATATTTTCGTTGTCCTCCAATTCAACTTGCTCAAATTCACTGTCTCAAATTCAGCGTCTAAAAATTCGCTGTAAAAATGGCCAAGGTTACTTCAGGTCACAGAGATTAGCAATGGATGTCCGATTCCAACATCCACCTAATCACGTGACACAACCGTCATATTGAAGAAGTACCAGTATCACCCAGGCTGGCGACCATGGAGGCGAAGTTAAACCCAGCGGTGAGTTTAATGCTTTCATATTTCTGTAGTATATTTTATTTTGCGCATGAAGTTTGATACATTATCTTAAAGCCTGATTTAAAACACTGGTTTGGGCCGTTGTTAATCTTACACCGTGTAGTGCCGGCATATTACTTCTCGCTACCTCCGAGCACCCCCCCCCCCCCCCCCCCCCCCCCCCAATTTCCCCCGTTTTATTTCAAAAAGAAATACCCCTTGCGCCAAGTCTAGAATCTTTAAAGAGATTTGAAGCACACAAGGCAGCCATATTAGCTTACTACATTAGCAGTAGCATCTCCTTAAAAATTACGACTTTACTAAGACTGCCTGGAAAAGTGTTATTTAACGGGGGAAATTGTGTGTGGGGGGGGGGGGGGGTGCTCGGAGGTAGCGAGAAGTAATATGCCGGCACTACACGGTGTAAGATTAACAACGGCCCAAACCAGTGTTTTAAATCAGGCTTTAAGATAATGTATCAAACTTCATGCGCAAAATAAAATATACTACAGAAATATGAAAGCATTAAACTCACCGCTGGGTTTAAGTTCGCCTCCATGGTCGCCAGCCTGGGTGATACTGGTACTTCTTCAATATGACGGTTGTGTCACGTCATTAGGTGGATGTTGGAATCGGACATCCATTGCTAATGTCTGTGACCTGAAGTAACCTTGGCCATTTTTACAGCGAATTTTTAGACGCTGAATTTGAGACAGTGAATTTGAGCAAGTTGAATTGGAGGACAACGAAAATATTGCATTTGAATTTTGAAAAGTTGAATTTTTTATATGCTGAATTTTTTAACACTGAAAATTTAAACTGTGAAAAATATGTATATTGAAAATTTTATCACTTTGAAATAGGAATGTGAATTTTTTTAATAACTGAAAATTGCAACCATGTAAAAAAAATTACACTGAATTTTTTTTTAATGTACAAATAATGACATTGAATTTTTTTTAGTTTAAAAATATATTCTGAATTTATTTTAATACTGAAAAAGTAAGCACTAATATACAACATTTAAATTTCAGAGGTATTTTTTATTCAAATTCTGATGGCACATACACTATATTGCCAAAAGTATTTGCTCACCCATCCAAATTATTGGAATCAGGTGTTCCAATCACTTCCATGGCCACAGGTGTATAAATTCAAGCACCTAGGCATGCAGACTGTTTTTACAAACATTTGTGAAAGAATGGGTCGCTCTCAGGAGCTCAGTGAATTCCAGCGTGGAACTGTGATAGGATGCCACCTGTGCAACAAATCCAGTCGTGAAATTTCCTCGCTCCTAAATATTCCACAGTCAACTGTCAGCTGTATTATAAGAAAATGGAAGTGTTTGGGAACGACAGCAACTCAGCCACGAAGTGGTAGGCCACGTAAACTGACGGAGCGGGGTCAGCGGATGCTGACGCGCATAGTGCGAAGAGGTCGCCAACTTTCTGCAGAGTCAATCACTACAGACCTCCAAACTTCATGTGGCCTTCAGATTAGCTCAAGAACAGTGCGCAGAGAGCTTCATGGAATGGGTTTCCATGGTCGAGCAGCTGCATCCAAGCCATACATCACCAAGTGCAATGCAAAGCGTCGGATGCGGTGGTGTAAAGCACGCCGCCACTGGACTCTAGAGCAGTGGAGACGCGTTCTCTGGAGTGACGAATCGCGCTTCTCCATCTGGCAATCTGATGGACGGGTCTGGGTTTGGCGGTTGCCAGGAGAACGGTACTTGTCTGACTGCATTGTGCCAAGTGTAAAGTTTGGTGGAGGGGGGATTATGGTGTGGGGTTGTTTTTCAGGAGCTGGGCTTGGCCCCTTAGTTCCAGTGAAAGGAACTCTGAATGCTTCAGCATACCAAGACATTTTGGACAATTCCATGCTCCCGACTTTGTGGGAACAGTTTGGAGCTGGCCCCTTCCTCTTCCAACATGACTGTGCACCAGTGCACAAAGCAAGGTCCATAAAGACATGGATGACAGAGTCTGGTGTGGATGAACTTGACTGGCCTGCACAGAGTCCTGACCTCAACCCGATAGAACACCTTTGGGATGAATTAGAGCGGAGACTGAGAGCCAGGCCTTCTCGTCCAACATCAGTGTGCGACCTCACAAATGCGCTTCTGGAAGAATGGTCAAAAATTCCCATAAACACACTCCTAAACCTTGTGGACAGCCTTCCCAGAAGAGTTGAAGCTGTTCTAGCTGCAAAGGGTGGACCGACGTCATATTGAACCCTATGGATTAGGAACGGGATGTCACTTAAGCTCATATGTGAGTCAAGGCAGGTGAGCAAATACTTTTGGCAATATAGTGTAATTACTTCCATAGAAATAGTTGAATCAGGAAAAACTTTCTAAAAGTTCATTTTTAGCTTACAGACAGGGTTCCCGCAGGTCCTTAAAAAGTCTTAAAAGGCATTGAATTCTTCAAAATAAAACTAAGGCCTTAATTGGTATTAAAATGTCTTAAATCAGTCTTTCGTAGGTCTTAATTTTTAAAACATCATAAATAGGATTATTTTTATTACGATTTATTTTTGTAATCTAAGTAAAACATTAAAATTGACAATTTATTTTTCATTTAAATAAAATAACGGCTCACCATTATTGGTTCCGTCCCGATAGCGGGACCAATAAAGCGTTGTTGCGGCCGGGACATTTGGGAGATGCACCATTAACTTTTTGTCTGGAAAATATGAGCAAGTGTAAATTTAACCAAAATTGTCTCCAGCCAAGAGTTTTCTCCATGGCTAAAACCAGGGAACATACATGAGGCTCAGTGGATTTTGTGCAAGAAGTCATTCAAGCTCAGAACGATGGGAATTAAGGCAGTGGAGTCGCACATGCGAAGCGCGAAACATAAAGCAGTGGAGTCGCACATGCGAAGAGCGAAACACAAAGCAGTGGAGTCGCACATGCGAAGCGCGAAACATAAAGCAGTGGAGTCGCACGTGCGAAGCGCGAAACATAAAGCAGTGGAGTCGTACATGCGAAGCGCGAAACATAAAGCAGTGGAGTCGCACATGCGAAGCGCGAAACATAAAGCAGTGGAGTCGCACATGCGAAGCGCAAAACATAAAGCAGTGGAGTCGCACATGCGAAGCGCGAAACATAAAGCACTGGAGTCGCACATGCGAAGCACGAAACATAAAGCAGTGGAGTTGCACATGCGAAGCGCGAAACACAAAGCAGTGGAGTCGCACATGCGAAGCGCGAAACATAAAGCAGTGGAGTCGCACATGTGAAGCGCGAAACACAAAGCGTCAAAATGGAGTTAGAGAGAAACAGCCGGTATTTCTCAGTTTAGTTCCACCCTTGTCTCTGCAACGCCTCCACTTATCACCAAATCAAACATACTAAGAAAACCATACAAAGAAAAATAGCTGCAAGACTTAGCAAAGACTTAGCACTGGTTATGTTGTGGCTTTAAAACTGATTTGTTTTGTTCCCTGCTAAAACAAAGTTTGTGAATTCCGTTAAATAATTGTTAAAATATATCTGTCATTTGTGTGTTTTTAGCTTTCTTCCTGTATGGGAAGCTTTTCAAAATTTGAAACATTAGTGCAGTGGTTTATATTAAAATAAACCTTTGGGTTTTTCTTGTGTTTCTTGTAAATTTGGTCCTAAATTTTTATTTTTAATAGCATTAAAAAGTCTTGAATTTAACTTGCCTTATGCTGTAGGAACCCTGGCAACATGGGAAAGTTTGGGAACTCAGACTGCATGTTTTCCCCATCCTCAGATTCCAACGCCGGCTTTGTCATTGAGGATTCCTACCAGGTCTGTGTGATGAAAGGCGTCAAGAAGTCTCTGACCAAATCCCAGAAAGCTCCATCCAAGAAACTAAAACCAGCGCTGGCTTCAAAAAGACACTCCTGCTGTTTCTCAGGTTGGTTTTATCACCTAAACACGTCTTCATTTTCTACTTTCATAAGTTTGTCCCACGGAGCTCCTCTCTGGAACCAGTTTTAATATATTTTAGAACCATTTTTCTCAAAAACTGACCACCTTTTAAGCCTGGCCTTAAAAGTAGACAGGGTGTCTGCCTCCCGGACTAAAACTGGTAGTTGGTTCCTGTTACGTCCACCTGGCTTGTTTGGTGGGGTAACATTAATGGAGACCACACAAGGATTTTTAGAGTTAATGAAAAAGGAAATTTATTAAATTATATTAAGTAAAACCTGGAAAAGGATTACCTGAAATAAGAAGCCAAAACAAATTAATACAAAACCCATAACCAATTAGAAATAAACAAACGCAAAACAAACCTAACAAAACTCAATCATAAGGTCCAAACCAAACCAACTGAAGTTCTGAAGAGGGAGAGGAGGAAAAAAGCCTGCTGACTGCTGCAGCATGACAGCTTTTAAAGCAGCAGAGCACCAATCAGGGAAAAAACATAACACCTTCAGAAGGCCTGCCTCCAGGACCCTGAAAGGAGAAAAAGCAGAGACCCACTGCAGCCGTAACAGGAGAGGAGCCTGATAACTAAAAGATCTGCCTCCAGTTCTACTTTTAGAAATTCTAGGAACCATTAGTAAGATCCACTGAATCAGTTTTTACAATCCATTATTTATTAACAATAAATGCCATGTCACCGTTTATCTAGACCATTTTGAAGTTGGAAAAGCCTTCACTGGCGTAATGATGATAAAACTTAGCAGGGATGGTGATTGTTTTAGCTTTAATGAGACAAAAACTAAAGAAAAACTTAGTTAAAAGAAAGGTACCAAAAGAATAATTTATTTATACTCTTGATTAACAAAAACTAAACTTATGGTTAAAACAGTTTCACCTACAATAAGATCCACTTACATTTTTTTTAATCACCTCTTACAGCTTGAAAAATGAACCTCTCAAACTGCCTTTTAATGCCACGACTATCCAGGAAATAATTTAAAAAAAAAGGTAAACTACAAAGTTAGAATATTTAGAGGTGGAGAAATAATTTTATGACATTAAATGGAAACATTTACATCTTAATACGATAGGAAGAAATAGAGAAGCTATGAGAGAAATAGAATTTCAGTGAGAAATTCAATTTTTACTGTGGATGTAATTAGGGGTGTAAATCACATCCATCATGGCGATTCGATTCAGTATCGATTTCCTGACCCAACGATTCGATTATTTTCGACACTCAAGAATACACCACGATACCATTCGATTTGATTATTTGGTTCTATTTCTTTTTTTTTTTTTTACACCTTACAGGCTAGACAATGTTTCAAATTTGAAATAAATCAATGAAAGCTGTAATATCGTTTTGCATTTTTTTTTCTTTAGAAACAACAGCAAATAAAAGAAGTAGAAAAGTTGTGCTCCACCTATTCCTATTAAAACCTCATTCACTGAAAAATAATAATATCCCTGCGTTATACATTCTAAAAGGTCTTGCATAAAAAAATACTGCAGAAAATCAGTGCAATGAGTGCAATTCAATACCTTGGGCTCCAGGCGTCCCGCCCACTCCACAGACGCTCCGCTGCTCCTCTCCCAAATTGTAGCTGACCGCAGACAGTGCCGCAGACAGGAGGCCGGCTTGTTTTGTTTTTATGACCGAAATTGCAGAAAACAACTCGTGAAGTTTGACCCGCTAGAAGAGCGAGGTGCACTAGAACGCTGGGACCCTTTTTCCACCTGGATCTCCGCTCTTTTTGGCCCTCATGTCCCTCCGTCGTCGGGCTAAACTCACCCCCACTTCCCCGCCGCCTCGGCCGTATCTAGACCCACAGCGTGTAGCACAGACCACGCTGCAATATTGAGCATAAATTACAAATGTCTGTGTCAAGCTCACTGCAACACACTGCTGCATGAGGATAACCAGGAAGCGAGGTCGGAGGGCAAAATAGGTTTAGCGCCACCGCAGCACGGGAGGGAGAATTACGCCCAGGAGCAAATGGATAAAAATAGACGGAGGGAAAAAAAATGAATCGATTATCTTGTGGACGTATTGATGCATCGGATCGTCGGCAGTTGGATCAATACATCGATACAAAACGTCCCCTCGCTGGCAAGTTGCATAGTCCTCTGTACCCCCCGCCACTGTGTGTCTGGTGACATCATCACGCTGGTTAAGCGTTGATGATGTCACCAGTACGACAAAAATCAGGGTTGTAAACAATGGAGAGCCAGGGGCGTAGTCGGTGTTCTTTATTGTTTTGCTCTATTTTCTGTCTGAATCCTTCTCACCAGAGCTGCTCCATGTTTATGGAATGTAAACAGAGTTGTTTCGGCTTGTTAGAGATCATTCGGGAGTGGCAAGGTGTGTTGACATCCACATGTTGCATGTAATTTAATGTGTTAACCCAGGTCTTGTGTTCCTGCAGCATGCCAAAATCAGTAAAGAAAACAAGTACCTCATCGCAGCACAAGGTAGCCTCTAAATAACTTTACTTCTGCATCTACAGGTTGCAATTTTAAGACCCAGTATGGCCAGAAAGACATGGAGCGACACCTGAAGACTCACACCGGTAAGGAGATCCGGCTTCGATTGTCAGATGAGCTGCAGAAAAACCTGAAGGACCATAAAGGGAATTTACTTAGAAACTGAAATAAAAAAAAAGAAAGAGAATGATGCAACTTAGAAAATGTTTTAAGTAGGGCTGAAACAATTAATCGAATTCATGGTGATAAATCGATTTTTTAAATAATCGGCAATGAATTTATTAATCGGTTAATCGTTAACTGGAATATAGAGACTAAAACAGGCCTTTACGTGACAGATCAACAGCAATCATACCAAAATTACATTTGTGATAATCTGTCATTTGTCAATACGCTCTATCCAGAACTCCTTTTAGATTCACCTGGTTTAATTTCATAAAAATTGTTCTTTAAGGAACCTTTTGCTAGCCGATTATTAATCGATTAATCGAAAAAATAATCAACAGATTAATCGATTTGCAAAATAATCGTTAGTTAAAGCCCTAGTTTTAAGAGTACTTTTGCTTTTTATCTGAGATTTTCTTTTTTTTTTTTTTCTTCATATTCTTTTTTTTCTTCTCGTTTTTATATTTTTGTCTTGTTTTTTTTATTTGAAAGTAAAGATTTTATATTGAGATTTTGAAAACAAAATACAATCCAGGAATAAAACTTAAGATTTCAGATTCATAAAAAGTTTTTAAAATAACTTTCCCGTTTTCTTAGACTTTTGTATTTTTGTATCAAAACACTTTTGTGTTTTCTTTTCAAATATAATTTTTTTTACAACTTTATTATATTTCTACAGATTTTATATTTAAAAATTTTAGCCTAATAAAACTCGCTCGCTCTTCACAAAAAAATATTGCTGACATCAATGCAGACGTCTAACAGAAGTAAAAGAATCCAGTTCATAAAACTCAATCTGAAAAAGAGAAATTTGACAAATGCATAGAACGTAAATCCAGATATTTGAAATGATGTAAAAATAAAAAAAATAAAAAAAAAGGATTTCTAAGAAAACAAAAAAGTCACTCTTAAATTTTTTTTTTTTATTAAAGAGTTTTTTTTTGGATTACAAAATAGTTTATTTGCTTTCAACAATAATGGAACAAATTTCTCTCCATAAGCGACGGTCAGAGTTAATTATTTGCCCTCTGCTTGGAGCAGGAGAGAAGCCGTTCGAATGCGAGCTGTGCCACAAGCGCTTCAGTCGGCGGGACAAGCTCAACATGCACAGCCGCTCTCACACGGGCGAGAGGCCTCACAAGTGTAAGCACTGCTCCTACGCGGCGGCCGACAGCAGCAGCCTGAAGAAGCACCTCCGGATCCACTACGACGAGCGGCCGTTCAAATGCCAGATCTGCCCTTACGCCAGCCGCAACTCCAGCCAGCTCACCGTGCACCTGCGCTCTCACACAGGTCCCTGAACGCCACACAGCCAACACGTCCGCCGGCGCGGGCCTCTCTCTCACTCTGTCTCTATTTGGTTTTCAGGAGACGCACCCTTCCAGTGTCAGCAGTGTGACGCCAAATTCAAGATCAACTCGGACCTCAAGAGGCACCTCCGCATTCACTCGGGTGAAAAGCCCTACAAGTGTGACTTCTGCGACTACTGCTGCGCCATGAAGGGAAACCTGAAGTCTCACACTCGGATCAAACACGGCACAGAGAACTTGTATCAGTGCGAGCAGTGCGACTACAAGTCCGCCAGCAGGCTGGCGCTAAGGCAGCACGCCAGGCAGCACCTGCCCAGCCGACCCTTTCAGTGCTCCAAGTGTTCGTACTCGTGCTCCGGGAAGGGGGCGCTCCGAGTCCATGAGCGGATCCACTCGGAGGAGCGGCCCTTCCAATGTGACCTGTGCAGTTTCGCCTCCAAGCGACTCAGCTACCTGATCAGCCACAGGGAGCAGTGCCACCCGGACAAGGCCGCGAAGGGGGGGGTCCGGATGGCCCGCACAAAAGGGCCCAACTCCCCCAACCCCGCCTGCTCCCGCTACCGGGCCAAGCTGGACGCCGCCCGAGTCTTCCACTGCGACCTGTGCGACGCCTCGTTTGTGAGGGAGGACTCGCTGCGCAGCCACAAGAAGCAGCACAGAGACGCCCAGAAGACGCAGGTCCCCGGCTCGCCGGACGCCGTCGCTCTGCTTCCTGTTACGGTGGCTCAGAGCGAAGTTCCTTTCCCGTCTTACGGTAACGCGCAAATCAAAATCCTGGTCCCGCAGCCTTTGATGCAGCACGGCTCCCTAATCGCCGCCGACGAGGACGGAAGCGGCAAAACCAAAATGGTTTTTCTGGACGCGGAAAGCCAGGATGAGGTCGTCAGTCCCGTCATCCAACAAGTCAACCTCGTGGCGGCGGTTCAGCGTAGCACCGTCGGCACCGAACCTCAGGCTGTGCTGCTGACCAATCTGAGCTCAGACAGTAGCCCGCCCCCCAGGAGCCCAGCAGCAGCAGGCAGACTCTGATCACCTACAGCTCAGACCTGGACGGCCTCAGCACCTTCATCCCCGATGGCGGCGCTGAGCTTAGAGTTCTGGCCAAGAGGAGCTCCCTGTTGCCTCCGGCCGACGTCGCCGCCTCTCAGGCTGCCGGAGCCGGACAGGAAGCTGCCCTGGTGGTGGGCGGCCAGAACGTGGTCATCCAGAGCGTTCCGCTGATAGTGTGCGCTCAGCCACAGCAGGGCGCCGTGGAGCAGCTCACTCCACATGGACTCTACGCAGAAGCGAACGGAGCAGGGAGCACGCCGCAATGACCCGAGGGTCAGCCTAACTATCGGTTACTGGTTCAGACTCAGATTATTTATTTGAACCAGCAACAGACTGGTGCACCATTAAAATTGATTGTGGATTTTTTTTCCTTCCATTCATTCCAAAAAAAAATAATATTTTCAGATGGTTTTTTTATTTTTTTTATTTCTCTTTTTCAGATTGAATTTCACGGATTGCAGTTTTCTCTGCTGGGGGCGGGATTCTGTCTAGAAGCAGAGACGCATTTCTATTGGTCTGCTGGATGTTAGCGTTTATATTAGGGCTGAAACAATCCATTATAGAAATAATTAACAACTAATTTATTAATCCATTAATCATTACCTGGAGTATAAAGACTCTATAAATGAAATTTAGCTGACAGAGGAACACAATTAGAGCAGCAATGATACCAAAATAAATAAAAAAAATGTGTAAACATTAAAGATAAAATTATTTTTTCGCTGTCAATAAGTTCTAGCCAGAACTCAAGTGGAATAGCTTTTATTTTTACTTGGTTTCATTTAGCAAAAACTCTTCTTTAATTATTAAACGATGAATCGAAAAATAATTCACAGATTGATCAATTTGCAAAATAATCATTAGTTTTCGCCATTGTTTGTAGTTAAGAGAATGTGATCATGAAAAGTTCCCATGTCAGAGGTTGAAGAGAGCACATCCAGCCAGTCACAGTCAGAGAAACAGGACTACACTGGAAAACAGGCCAATCTCCAACATCTAAATTTTGGCCATGTTGTAGCCTTGGAGCTCTGAGGTCATATTAATAAAACTCGGCACTCATAAATCTGTGTATATATATCTATATATGTGTATATATAGATATTAGGGATGGGACGACTTATGAAAACCGTCCGAACCGTTCGGTTCGACTGTCTCGGTTCGGTTCGCGTGTGTTGCGTTCGGTTCATGCGCTGCTCCTTTTTCTCATAGGCGAAGCGTTTACACTCCAGAGCAGAAGGTGGCGGTACTGCGACTAAAGCCAACCACCAGTAGTAAACAAGAAGAAGAAGCGAAGCAGCGTAGCCGGGTGTAGCAGAAAAAAATCAGTTGTTGTGGAGAATTGTGTGGGTATGGCGAGTGGGAAAGAACAGGAGTTGGAAGACGCGCCAGCAGCACTTTATAGGTCTGCTGTATGGGACCGCTTTGCATTTAGAGTGACCTACGATGACGGCGGAAAGAAAGCTGTGGATAAAAGTGCAACAGTGTGCAAGCATTGTGCAACACGTTTTGTTTATGCTAACAGCAACATGACCAACATGTCATGCTAACCCCGAAATCCCACATACTCCGTCAGCACTGTCCTCCAGACCGGCTGCTCAAAGCAAAGCCTACAGCCTCCGCTGTGGTTTCCGCGGATCATTTAAAATAATTACAATCCATTATTTTGGGGGGGATTTTTTCATTAATTTCATAAATTTTTATGGGATTTCGGTGTAACAATCAACATATATCGAAATGAACCGAAAACCGTGACCATGAAACCGTGAACCGAACCGAACCGTGGATTTTGTGAACCGTTCCACCCCTAATAGATATATACCTTCATAAATATATGTAAAAGGGAATTAATAGGACATATTTTTTCCCACCACAGTTCCACGCTTACGATTATAAAGATATACCATCTTTTATACAATTGAGGAAAAATCAATTACTATTCATCATGGGATTTGCTCATTTGTAGTAAGATCAGTTTTAAGAGTTTCTAATAAGTTTGCAGGATTCAGGTCTGTCTGATCTTAGAATAAAATGATCTGAAAACACAATTTGAAAAGAATTCAATTTGTGTAAATGGATCTGAAAAAAGGAAATTCGAAAAAATAAACTGAAAATATAAAATTGGGGCCATAAAAAAGCAAAGTTTGAAAAAAAAAAGACAAAAATCTGAAAAAAAAGCAAAGTTCTCAAAATCGTTTTATCAGTATTTGTTTTTAATTCATATTTTTTAAACTTCAATTCTGCTTTTATGTTTAAATCTTTTTTTTTTTTTTTCAGTTGTAGTATTATGAATATCTTTCTTTTCAAACCGATCACATTATCTTCTCTATAAACCCCATTAAAAACACTCGCTCTGACGAATAGAAATGTTGCTAACGTCCAGCAGACCAACAGACGCTGGCTGTGTTCTACCTGGACTTGGTCCTTGGAGGTCCGTGAAAATAAGGAGGCCGGGAGAGTTTTGCTATTGATTGTTGCGGGTAAAAAGTATTCAACTATTCACTCCAGTTAAATAAACGATGGATTTCACTCAGTTTGCATTTTATTTCATCTTTGCAAAGAGAGAACAGCATTGCATGGTAATCAGCCCTGTTCTGAGTGGGACGGCGTTTGTTTGCCTTACTTACAATAATGGAAAATAAACTGTCAAAATAAATTACAGACACTTTGGTTCAATGGTAACATGGTATGAATAAACCTTGAGAAATGATCTGGCTTGTCATGGGAATAAGTATTTCTTGTATCCAAACACTCAGGCATGTTTCAATTAAATTCAGTTTATTTCTATAGCGCCAATTCACAACACGTCATCTCAAGGCACTTTCCAGTTCAACCAGATCATCCAGTATGATTGATTCGAAGTTTTCTATCTAAGGAAAATCAGTTGATTGCATCGACTCATTGACTCAAATGCAATCCCTCACACTGAGCATGCTTGTAGCGACAGTGGAGAGGAAAAACTCCCTTTTAAAAGGAAGAAACCTCCAGCAGAACCAGGCTCAGTGTGAGCGGCCATCTGCTGAGGCCGACTGGGGTTCAAGGAGACAGAAGCAGACATAGAAAAAGCAGCTGTAAAAGGCGGCCCCGTCCAGGAAACACACAGCCAGGCGGACGAGTTCCCATGTCAGAGGATGAAGAGAGCACATCCAGTTAGTCACAGTCAGAGAAACAGGACTACACTGGAAAAACAGGCCAATCTCCAACGTCTAAATTTTGGCCATGTTGTAGCCTTGGTGCTCTGAGGCCGAATGAATAAAACTCAGCACTCATAAATCTGTATATATATATATCTATATATGTTTATATAGATATATATATACCTACATAAATATATGTAAAAGGGATTTTTTTTTCTCCCACCACAGTTCCACGCTTACGATTATAAAGAGATAACATCTTCTATAGAATTGAGAAAAAATCTATTACTATTCATCATGGGATTTGCTCATTTGTTGTAAGATCAGTTGTAAGAGTTTCCAATAAGTTAGCAGGATTCAGGTCTGTCTGATCTGAGAATAAAATTATCTATTGCCTTAAATTTTTCATATTTTAAAAGTAATCGAAAAAGTTACACTACAATTACATTTTAAACAAGGTAACTTGTAACTGTAACGGATTACATTTTTAAAGTAACTTACCCAACACTGAATACACGCTAGATTAAAAATGATCAGTCAGGGATTAGGAAAATAATAATTATATCATATGGCAGTCTTCTGTACAGTGATGCAGGTCATACATTAAAAATGTTCATTAATTTTTTTTCTCTTAGACATTGGAGAGGTGCATTAAATGTTATAGAGCTAAACATGTTAAATTGGTGAGTAGTAGTAGTGTAAGTTTTAGATTTTTAACATTAGAATTTATATATTTCCAAGCAAACAACAGTTTAAAGCAAAGTTTAGTTTGAAAAGAATGTGCAGTAAGGATTGAAAAGCATGTTAACACGGTAATGTAGGCTTGAGTTCATTATCTGACGCATGCAGATACACACCAGGAACCTGGAAACGTACTGAATTACAAAAAACATTTAAAAAACAAACATGTTTCATTGATATATATATACAAAAATGAATATTAGGAACTATATTTATCAAACATTATACTGAGCAAGTAAAAATTGTTTCTGGGCAAATGAAATGTCAAAGTCACTTGCATTCCAAATACCACAGGAGGGCATGAGCACCAGAAGCAAAGCAAAGATGATGCAATCATCTACTTACTGCACCAAACTCTGACTCACTTTAAAGGAATAGTACACCCAAAACATGATTAGCCTTCATTTTCTACTCACCCCCATGCTGAACAAAACTCTGGAGTACTTTTTTGATATCTCAAATGCATCTGGAGATCTGGGAGGCTTCTTGCTGTCTGCTGACATTCAAATAATGGAGGTCTATGGTGCCCGAGGCAGAAAGGTCCATAAAAGTCCACAAAAAACGTGTCAATATTCCTCCATACTGCTCGTCCAATGTATTCCAAGTGTCCTGAGTGGGTAGCGTCCATAATCAGAGATAGCAAAAGTACTCACTTTCCGTACTTGAGTAAAAGTACAGATACTTGTGTTAAAAAATACTCTGGTAAAAGTGGAAGTACTGATTTAACTTCTTTACTCAAGTAAAGGTAACAAAGTACAGGCTTGTAAATTTACTTAAAGTATAAAAGTAAAAGTAGAAACCACTTTTTTCATGTCGTTGCCTACATTTTAAATGGATGTCTGCCTATAGGACTAGATCTCCGTTGTGTTCATTTTCAATCATCTCGTCGTCCATACTACTATGCTAACGCCACCGCCACCAAGCTGAGATGTTTTTGGGACGGGTTCCAGTAACGACTCAATGTTGTGTCTGTCATGGCTAATTTAGTTGGCAGCACTTCCAACATGTCTGAGGAGCTGTTGCCATGTGAAGGAATGACTGGCATGTGTTTGCTGGAAATTTACCTGGTAGACAAACACACAGGAGCATTTCCTCCTAGCAGCAGCTTTGAGAGGAACGCTGATTCTCCACCTTGGCTCTTTTATGTAATAAGTTTGAATGTTTCTGCTTGCAGTTAAGCCTCCATTCCGTAGGTTGCATGTTTTCCCGATTCTGAGACTCCAAATAAGCCGACGATGTTAACCCTTTGATCACCGTGCCAGATTTAGATGTTTATACTGATACACTATGCTCTTTATCTGTATTTGTGAAGCTATTTTGGGCATATTATCTATTAAAATGCCAACTATGGACTGCAGCATATAACAAGGAGCTGCTGGGTTTCTCTGAGCTTTGAACAAACTGAATGGGGATTCATTTAATGCAGTCCCCCTTCTGATAAAATTGACCATCTGTGTACACTCTGGATTATCTTCCTCTCTTTGAAATTTTAAATATGAATCCATGATTGACAGGAAACTGTACCGTAGGTGTCATTGCTTTCAGAGACATCTACATGGAGTCTGAGTGAGTGAAGACAATGAAAAAACTGGCTTAAAATCACTTAGCAGATGTAATTCAATTCAGTTTATTTCTATAGCGTCAATTCACATCATGTCATCTCAAGGCACTTTCCAGTTCACCAGATCATCCAGTCAGATTGATTTAGTTTCCTATCTAAGGAAAACCAGCTGATTGCATCGACTCATTGACTCTACAGCAATCCCTCACACTAAGCATGCTTGTAGCGACAGTGGAGAGGAAAAACTCCCTTTTAACAGGAAGAAACCTCCAGGAGAACCAGGCTCAGTGTGAGCGGCCATCTGCTGAGGCCCACTGGGGTTCAAGGAGACAGAAGCAGACATACAAAAGGCAACTGTCAACCAGCTCGTCCCCTTAGCTATCTTTTTCTGTGAATGCGCACTTTCAGGCGTATATCCGTGGTTTCAGACAGTCATTGAAGCTCACCTTTCTCACCAAGGTTCTTTGAAAATGGCCGAAGGTCATAATAGACAAAGTGTCTTCGAAGTGTGCGACTAATAACAAAGAGAGCGCAGGCACCACGCAGTGGAGGAGGAGTAACATGACCAACAGGGAAGTGATCATCTGTCCGCACTGCAAAAAATGTTAATCTAAATAACTCATTTTTTTCTTGAATTGAGGAGGTAATTGAGACACTTTGCCAATGGAACAAGGTAATTTAAATTTAAAATAAGAAAAAACAACTGCATTGTCTTATTTCAAGTGCATATTATCTAATCATCTTATTTTAAGACTAAAAATACCCATTCCATTGGCAAATTATTTTATTACCCTACTCAAATTAATAGTAAATACTCTTAATTTAAGAATTTTTTCCTTATTTTTAGATGGTTTTTGCAGTGCGAAAAGTGGAGAGGGTGGATCTTTTAAAAAAATCGTGAAAATCCTTCATAATATCTTTAAATGAACTATTTTCATGAATTTAAGATGATATTATTACGGAGCATCCAGCTTTCTTGGACTCTTAATGAATTACTGGATACCTTAAACTGCATAGGATACAATGGTCCTGTCCTTCAAAACTTTCACATCTTGCTAGATCTTGAACATTACCAATAGCTTTAAAGTAAAAAAAAAATTTGATTATTTTCAGAATTATGAAAATTAACAATTCAGATTTTGTTTTTGTGCATTATTTATTTCCAGTATTCCTCATCTCCTCTTATATAGATATAATTCAGGTCTAACTAGCAAAGAATCTGCTCTCTGGGTCCTTACTTGGTCTTCAATCTGCTGATGTCTGGCCAGAAATATCCCTCCTATTGTATGAATCAATATATATACAAGATATAGATGTATCACACGTCTTGTTTAATTTTTGGAGCAACAACAAACCAAAGAATCATGATCAGTCAAGGGTTTATTTTAACAATGGATTTTTAAAGTATCACAGGTTTAGATTGAGATAAACATAATGATGTTTCTAGTTCTTTTTTATTTAATTACTTAAATTATCCATAGAAAATCAAAACAATACATAGTATATATCACCGTTTTAAATAATCACCAAGAAAAAGTGATCTACTTTAATTAATTGATTAATAAAATCCAAGAAAATAATCATCTGAAGTGATTCGTTGCAACAGATGCTTCAGAGGTTCATGGAACAAACACAAGGCATCCTTGTGCTGCATGGCATGTCATTCCAGTACTCTCCTGTTGGAGACAAAAAATATAGAAATGAAAGACTTTTCTGCCTTCGACTGGCGGCGACCTGTCCAGAGGGAACCCCACCTCCCCCACAGACTGCTGGGCTGGACGGATCTTTTACATTTTGTATAAAAGTTCTTGTTATATGTATCAGAGGCAAAAGAAAATTAGTTTTTTTTTGTCAAAACAATAAAAAGTTAAAAAGTCCAGTAAATATTTATTTACCTGCATAGTTGATTTCCATGCAGTGCTGATTTCTTGAATTGTGACCATTGTCTGGCTGGTCCTGATACCAGTTTACAAACTCTAGACTTGAGCCGTCGCTCCACAGCCATGTGTTCTCCTGACGACAGAGATCATCAGATAGATTAAAGGCACAATAGAACACTGAAAGAACAAGACTGTGTTTGCAGGACTTACAGTGACTGCATCGTAGCCTCCAATCCAGGTGTCACGACTACCGCCAGTCACTCTGTGCACGAGCTCACTCACGAAGTTGTTTTCTTCTATGCTGTGGATCGAGGCCAGATTCCCGCCAATAGAAATGCAGAATTTCTAAAAGAAAGGAAGAGATGAGACGCTGCAAGTTAAAGAGGAAATTTAGAAAAGATTTGTTTATGTTGTCCTCTGCTGCCCTCTTGTGTCCTCTTTCCCTTGCTCTGTTTTCTGCTCTGCCCTCACCTGTTTTCAATTCCCTCGTTAGCTCTCTCTGTTTGTCTCTGTCCCCTTTAAAAGCCCTCCCTCTTCAGTTCCTGTTTGCTGGATCCTCGTCAAAACGTCTGTCTGCTTACCTCGTCTTTCCCTGGCTCCTAGAGTTTGGTTTCCCCTGATGTCTCCTTGGTTCTGGTTAGTGTTATTTTTGTTGGATCTTTGATTCCTGCCTCCGTATCTGTAAACTTCAATAAACCCACCAAAATTCACCTCTGCCAACTTGCCTCTGCATTTGGGTCCTCAACCCAACATCGCTTCATGATAGTTTATTCCTATTCACCAGGAAACTATTATAAAAAAAGAATATATCTAATTTTCTCTGAATACAAGTTTAGTTCTAAGTTCGGTTTGATTTTTAACTGTTATCCATTTTTTTCATTTTTTATTTATTTTATAATTCTTTTTAGACCAAATCAAGAGGGTTTTTAATCAAAGATCTCTTCAGTTTGACAAGCATCATTATATTATTATTATTATTATTATTATTATTAGATATGAAGCAGCATGCGAGATGGTAAAGGTGATATTAGTAATAAAGGAACAATTTTATTATATTTATCTGACAAATTCCTGTCAGAGATTTCTTTTTTTTGCCAAACAACTATTTTTCCTTAAAGAAAAACAACAAAATAATGGATGAGAAAACACTTCTTATTAAATTAATTGAAGAAAATTGAACTTTTTTTGGTTATTCAAAACCATTGAAACTGTTTCCTTCATTTTTTTATGCTGATTAGAGGGGTCACATTTCTTCTTTTTTTTTTTTTTTTGGCTCTGTAGGTTTTCTGTAATTCAATATCAGTTGTTCTAAGATCTGTAAATATCACTCCACCACACATTAACAAATAGAACCAAAAAGCATTTTTTTTTATCAATCTCCTTCTAATTCACAAACTGCAAAAGATGTTCATAATTTGAACAAACCAAACGATGATATGTTTGAGGTATGTTTCTTCCTGTTCTGCCTAAGGTTGCGGTTAGAATATGTATAAACTCCCCAAAAATTGTAATCACACATCAAACAGCTCCTCTATTTCAATAAACACTAAAACAATCACTATCATTCAGTAAAGTTGGGGATCTGTTCAGAACCTCTGCATCACTCCATGTCCTGGACTGGTAGTAGAAAATGAAGCAACGAGAGCCAAACTGTGTCCAACCAGAAGGACAACGAGCGGGACATACAGCAGCTGCAGTTAAAAGAAGATGGTAAACAGGAGAAAATATTCAGGAAAGAGAAACCAGTTAAAGACATGCAATAATAACCACAGAGTTTATAACTTCATAGATACGGAAGAGGATTAGGGCCACTGAAAAAAAAAAAAAGTTATAGTAATTATTTTTTTCACAGAATGTCAGAATTCTGTGGAAAAAAAAGTCAGAATTCTGAGATTAATCCCAGAATTCTGACTTTTTTTCACAGAATTCTGACTTTAAAGTCAAAATTCTGACTTTAATGTCAGAATTCTGACTTTTTTTCACAGAATTCTGACTTTAAAGTCAAAATTCTGACTTTAATGTCAGAATTCTGACTTTTTTTCACAGAATTCTGACTTTTTTCTCAGAATTCTGACTTTTTTTTGTCATTAAACTCAGAATTCTGAGAAAAAAGTCAGAATTCTGACTTTTTCACATGTTAAACTGAAACAAAAATTTAAAAATCAGTTAACTTTTTTTTTTTTTCAGTGGCCCTAATCGTCTTCCGTACATAGATTATGTCAGACATGTTTTACTTTGTCTGCAGAGCTAAGATGTTTGAGTTTATTTATCAGGAGATATTGTTGGGGTTTAGTTTAGTTTCCTGTTTACATCTCTCCAACTCATCCTTATAAAATCCAGCTTTAATTAGAAACTCAACATCTCTGATGTTTTACTTTGTCTCTTCTCTTCTTTGATGAACCTTAAGCTGGAAGATGAACTAAAGCACGAAGCTAACAAACCTACAGATGAAAATATGACTTCCATGTTTTACAGATCTGTCATTATTTGATGATTAAAGAACTTCTGTTGCTTTGAATTCATCGAAATTGACTTCATAAAGATGATCTAATATTACATAATCTATAAAAGGTCTGAATCTGAAGGTATTTGAAAGAAGAGAGAGAAGAACCAACCTGCCTCCCTGGGGGTTTCACCTGGATAAGGCGCCTGTGAAAACAGAACCACAGTTAGAACCAGAAACCAGTTGGATCTTTTGTCTCCTTCCTTTCCTGCTTTTGGTCCAAAGTTATTCAGTTTTCTACCGTTTGCTCCTTGTTAGTAATCAAAGTTAATTTCACTCACAGCTTCTACAGTCAGGAGGCCGATGACGGAGCCCAGGAGGAACACCAAATGTAAAGCAGATGCCATCTGAGGATAGACAATGTTTAAAGTCCTGATTTCATAAAGAACCTTAATGATGGGTAAAATAACGTTAAAAAAAAATCTGAGGTGAAGCAATAAAATGGAGAGGCTGCTGGATGTTACCTTTGCTGTGTGTAATCCTCAAACAGATACCAGGTGAAGAGAAAGGACAGGAGCTTTAAAAACTGGCGGCTGTCTTTAATCTGGAATGATCAACATGTATGGTGACAGGAAAGAAACTTTTAAACGTGTCGTTATCTTTGATCTGGAATGCTGAACATCCATGCAGACATTTTATTTTTAGTGACAAGGAAACATTTTCTGTAAGAGGAACATGTTGACGGATACCGATATGCTTCTGGATTCTTATGGCAAACTGCCATACATGCATTCTCCGTCAAATCAAATACTGACGGGTTAGTGTTAAATATGGAAGTAATGTCCCCCTGAAGGCAGCCGTGCCTCGGAACTTCCCTACCGCTTCTTTACTTGGGAGCAAGTTATTTACTACTATTAACTCTAACTGAGTAAAACCATATAAAAAAGGATTATAAAACAGGAGTAAATGATGTTAACCTGTTTTAACCTCAACCAATCAGGAATACATCAGCTGATTATAGTCAGACTTTAGCGGTTTTCTGGATATAAGGCTGTGTTTATATAAGTGACATGGGCCATGATATATAACTCTAAACTGGGCTCCGTTTCACAAAGCAGGTTTACTGGAAACCTGAAATTGGGGAAACGCTGAGTTTTCTGCCTGACAAAGACAGTTTACTCAACCAATGTTTCTGTTACCATGGTAACATTCTCTCCCTAAATAACCTGGTCAGGATTTTAATGACTTTCCTCAATAAACTCAGCGTCCTTTATCTCCACTCTCTTAAAGCCAATCATGTTGTATGATATAATCAGCAGATTAAAAAATGAGCGCCATTAATTCGCAGAGAATTACATGCATATAATGCGAGGGTTCTCAGATCGCGTATAAATGTAGATTCATATTCAGTTTTCTTTATGAGCGCTACTGTTTCACCTAACAGTACTTACATGCATCCTTAATGAATTTGCATTAATCTCTAAAGATAATACTGAAGCGGTTGGTTGTCTAGTTATGTTGACTTTTATTATTTTATTAATAAATTGGAAAACTTGGAATTTAAAAGTGCATTATTTTCTGTCTTGTTTTCTTTTAAGTTACAAGGTAATGAACTTACAGTAATATAATACAATAATTACAATGCAAAATTTGAAATGTAGTATGTCCAGTAAAATCAAAATACTCATGCAAGTAACTCTATTTATGAGATTTCATGGAGCTTCTCTTATCCATGTTCGGGAGACTTAAATTAGACTTATTTAATATCATTTAGAGATCTCTTCTTTTTATCAGAGTAAGACACACTCTGGTTGTTTATTCTGAGGTCACTATGAGAAAACTGAGACATATTTGAGAAGAATAATGAGATCTTGGGAGTCATAGCTGAGTTTTCTTTGAGTTCTGTCTTTGATCTCATGGTCTCATGTTTAGGAGGCTGAAATTAGACATATTTCACATCATATAGAGATCTCTTGTTTTGATCAAACATGAGATTATATGTGATTGTTTCTCCTGGGTTGAAATTGAGAAGCAGGAGAAAAAACCTTTGGTCTCACCTTAGTATCAAAAATAGCTCATTTGTGTCTAGGAGAAATGAAAGAAACAACAATGAGATCTCTTCTTGGATTTTGCTTTCCTATGGGACGTGACACCATCCTGAGGAGAAATATCAGCTGTGCTGCTGCCATCAACATGTTTGTTTATAGATGTTTGAGGTCTGCCTATTTTTTCTCTGTAGTCCTGTTTCTCTGACTGTAACTAACTGGATGTGCTCTTTTCGTCCTGTGACATGGAATTGGCTCAGAGCTCGTCTGCCTGGCTGTGTCTTTCTTAGTATCTCTGCTTCTGTCTCCTTGAACCCCAGTCGGCCTCAGCAGATGGCCGCTCACACTGAGCCTGGTTCTGCTGGAGATTTCTTCCTGTTCAAAGGGAGTTTTTCCTCTCCACTATCGCTACAAGCATGTGCTTAGTGTGAGGGATAGCCTTCGAGTCAATGATTCGATGCAATCAACTGGTTTTCCTTAGAAAACTTGATCAATTTGACTGTGTGATCTGGTTGAACTGTATCTGTAAAGTGCCTTGAGATGACATGTGTTGTGAATTGGCGCTATTATATATGAATTGAACTATATCCACAACCTCATCCGTCCTCAAATATAAAGCATTGAATTATTAGCAGGTATCTGTAAGTAATTAATATTGGTGAAAGCACCCTGCTGTGTGAAAACAGCATTGTTAAAAACACTGCACAGTCAGACAGTTTTTTATTTACTGTATAACTTTAAAATGAGGAGGAACCCCATTAAATGATGCACAGGTCCTATCTGTTCTGAACAACTTGTTTATTCTTTATCTTCAGCTGCTGACAGATACGCTTCTCTCCTTTGAGATTTCACCTAAATATAATTTATGGATACACTACCAATCAACCAGAGAAGTATTTTTCCCACCGTAATGTTTTTGTGATTAGAACAGGCTATGGCATGCTGCTTAGATATTTATTAGTTAGTCTAAATAGGCATTTTTGATATTTATTTGATATTAAACAAAATTACATCCTTTATAGCTAAAACAAACATTCTGCACATCTAAAAATGAATTTAAGATCTCCACATTCCTATTGTTACTGGTCATAATTTGTATTATCCATCCATCCATTTTCCGTCATGCTTTATGCCAGCTGGGGTGGTGAGGTGTGCTGGTCCTTATCTCTAGCTGATTAATGTCAAAATGTCCTCTTAAAATGTGTAAATATTTCTAGGTATATAAAATTTAATTTCTACCAGTAAAATTTAGTTTTTGCTTTTTTACTTTCTCAAATTATCCAAGACGGTGGCACCTTTAAGGCAGGAATGCTGAAGCTCTTCGACAATCTGCAAGCATTTCTTCCAAATATGCCGCCTAGCACGCTACAAACTATGCATTAATCCAGTGTGATGACCGCCAATGCCTGCTGGAGCTACGGTCCTCCAGTGTTTTGTCTGGAGTATTTTTTCTGTAAATAAAACTATTCTTGACCATTTAAGCAACACTCTAGACCTGGTTTACTCTAACATAAAAGATGCATTCAGAGCAGGCCCCGCCCCCACTACGGTTCTTATGACCACCTAGCTGTTATGCTAATTCCCGCATACAGGCCCTTGCTTATTAGAGCAAAACTTGGAGTGAAACAGATGAGGGTGTGGACTGAGAGGGCGATGGAGGCACTCTAGGACTGTTTTGAATGCTCCGACTGGAACATGTTCAAAGTTGCAGCAACATATGACAACAAGGTCAATATTGATGAGTATGCCATGACAGGGTCAGCCTACATCAACAAATGCATTGAGGACATCAGCATCACAAAGAACATCCTCTCCCGGACAAATAAATGACCCTGGATGACTGGACGAGTTCTGTTTTGTTTCCATGTTTCTAGTTGTTTCTTATTTAATTACTTAAATTATTCAAAAGAAAATCAAAATAATGTCATGATTTTAAATAACCACCAAGCAAAAGTTGATATTTACTTTAATTAATCAAGGAAAAGAGGAATCTAACAAAATGATCGAATTTAGAGCAGGCAGCTGCTCTGTGTGGATCTGACAGATGAAGCCTGGAGTGATTCGTGGTCCACAGACGCTTCAGAGGTTCCTGGAACAAATGAAAGGCATCCTTGTGCTGCATGGCATGTCATTCCAGTGTTGTCCTGTTGGGAACAAAACAATATAAAAAATATTAAGTTTGTATTTTATATCTGTTTCTCACTAGTTTTATTTAAGTGAAATTGTAAAAAAAAAAAAACAACCCAATGGACTTTGTTTCCAAGTTTGAAGACATTTCGCTTCCCATGCAGGAAGCGTTTTCTATTCGAAACGTCTGGATTAGCATTGAGCTCGAGGCTTTATAGAGTGGACCAAAACAACGCCTTGTTTTGGCTGAGAAAACATGCTTTTTCTCAGCCAAAACAAGGCGTTGTTTGTCTGAATGTTCCACTGGTGAGTGTTCCTCCTATGTTTTATTTGCATCAGAGTTAATCTTGACTACTTAAAAGCTAAATATTATTGCACATATAATGAGTTATCAGAGATTTCTGTGCCATATCTACATGCAGATGGGTGGTAAATGTTGCCAAGTGTGCAGTGTCACAATTTGAATTGGAAATGTGACAGTTTCACATTTTTTTTGGAACGACTATAACCTGGATGCCTGAGAATTTTCACCAGCAATTGTACAATAAAAAGTCATTTAAAATGCACCAGAGGCAAAAGAAAAAAGTTTCATTTATATTATACAATAAAAAGTTTAAAGTCCAGTAAATATTTATTTACCTGCATAGTTGATTTCCATGCAGTGCTGATTTCTTGAATTGTGACCATTGTCTGGCTGGTTGTAATACCAGTTTACAAACTCTAGGCTTGAGCCGTCGCTCCACAGCCACGTGTTCTCCTGACGACAGAGATCATCAGATAGATTAAAGGCACAATAGAACACTGCAACAACAACACTGTGTTTACAGGACTTACAGTGACTGCATCGTAGCCTCCAATCCAGGTGTCACGACTACTGCCGGTCACTCTCTCCACGAGCTCACTGACAAAGATGTTTTCATCTGCGTTGTGGATCGAGGCCAGATTCCCACCAATAGAAATGCAGAATTTCTAAAAGAAAGGAACAGATGAGACACTGCAAGTAAACAAGAAATATAGAGATTTGTTTATTCATTTTCACCAGGAAATAATTTTTAAAATAACATCAGATTATCTGCAAATACAAGTCTAGATCTAAGCTAAAACAATCTACAAAAACCACTATTTTCAGTAAAGTTGGGGATCTGTTCAGTACCTCTGCATCAGTCCATGTACTGGACTGGTAGTAGAAAATGAAGCAACGAGAGCCAAACTGTGTCCAACCAGGAGGACAAGGAGCAGGACAGACAGCAGCTGCAATTAAAAGAAGATTGCTGGTGAGAATTCCCTGTCATCCAGGTCATAGTCATTCCAGAAAAGTAAAAAAAAAATCTACTGGACATTCTTTCTAAATGTAAAAACATTTCGCTACCCATCCAAAAAGGTTTTTCAATTCAAAATGTCCGGAATAGCATAAAGTTTGAGGTTTAATGCAGTAAAAGAAGATTGTAAACAGGATAAAATATTAAGGAAACAGAAACGATTTAAATGCATCCTGTAATAACTAGTTAACAATGTTTATATCTTTATAACTCAAGACAGAGACATGAGGAGAAGTTTGAATCTGTCTGCAGAGCTAAGAAGTTTGGGTTTATTTATCAGTAGCTATTGTTTGGGTTCTCTCCAACTCATCCTTATGAAATCCTAGCCTCGTGAGTCCATCCTGAACTCGCGAGCTTTCAAGGTTTCACTCGCTAATCAGTCTGGAGACTCTCCGTTAAAGAAAATTTGGAGCGTTTCATCAAACGAACGTCCAATCAGCGTTGGCTTTGAGGCGGGTTGAGGTGTGACGCAACGAGAAGCGCGACAGTTCAGTCTAAAGAACATGGCGGCTTCAGCCGATGAAACTAGCGTTAGCGTGGCTATCAAGCAAGTTTTATCGGAATTACAGAGTATTTCTTCACTGAAAGAAGAGCAAAACACTGCTCTGGAGGCTTTTCTCAGAGGAAAAGATGTTTTTGCTCTTTTCTCAACTGGGTTCGGCAAGAGTTTGATCTATCAATTTGCTCCTCTTCATCGTCACTCTGTTAGTACGTCATATGCTTCGTTGATCTGATTGGTTTACACTGGAAAAACCATCTAGAAATATGTAAAAATGTCTTAAATGTGTGTGTATTTCCGCTTAATTTGAGCAGGTAAATAAGATTAATTGCCAATGGAATGAGTATTTTTACTCTTAACATAGGATTAGATAATATGCGCTTGAAATAAAACAATGTAATTGTGTTTTCTTATTTTAACTGTAAATTGTCTTGTTCTATTGGCAAAATGTCTCATTTGCGTCCTCAATTCCAGAACAGATGCAGTTATTTTAAGAATAAAACGACTCTTCTAGATTTCGATTTTTTTTCCAGTGTATTTTGTCCGTCTATCACCAACATAGGCCAATCAGCTAACCAGTATCTTCTTTCGTGAACATTAAGTTACAAGATCAACTTAAAGTACAAAGCTAACGAACCCACAGATTAAAATATGACTTATTTTCCTCATGTCTAGCCAGACTTTCATGTTTTACAGATCTGTCATTAGTCGATGACTAAAGAACTTCTTTGCCTTTGAATTCTTTAGAATTTACTTCATAAAAATGATCTAATATTACATATCTATAAAAGGTCTGATTCTGAAGTTAATTGAAAGAAGAGAGAGAAGAACCAACCTGCCTCCCTGAGGGTTTCAGCTGGATAAGGCGCCTGTGAAAACAGAACCACAGTTAGAACCAGAAACCAGTTGGATCTTTTGTCTCCTTCCTTTCCTGCTTTTGGTCCAAAGTTATTCAGTTTTCTACCGTTTGCTCCTTGTTAGTAATCAAAGTTAATTTCACTCACAGCTTCTACAGTCAGGAGGCCGATGACGGAGCCCAGGAGGAACACCAAATGTAAAGCAGATGCCATCTGAGGACAGACAATGTTTAAAGTCCTGATTTCATAAAGAACCTTAACGATGGATAAAATAACGTAAAAAAAAATCTGAGGTGAAGCAATAAAATGGAGAGGCTGCTGGATGTTACCTTTGCTGTGTGTAATCCTCAAACAGATACCCAGTGAAGAGAAAGGACAGGAGCTTTAAAAACTGGGGGCTGTCTTTAATCTGGAATGATCAACATGTATGGTGACACCTCATGTTTTATTTTGAGCAACAAGGAAATATGTTGCTTTAACAGGAACCTGTTCTATTTCTGCGGCTCTGTTGACATGTTGCATGATTTCCCAAACCATTAAACAGCTTCATTCTTAGCATGAAGTTATTTGTTGAAAGGCAAATACTGACAGGTTGGGTTATTTTATCCTGCTGCTATATAAAATACATCAGCTTAAGGAGGACCATTGTTATCTTCACACTTCAGTGGATTCTGGAATGTAAAGTTGTGAAGCTCTGAAATATGACATGCACTCAAAGAGCAAAAAAATGCACCATAGTGCAGCAAACTTGTTTTTCCTGTAAGATGAGTTTTTTGATCCAAGAGGAAATAGGTTTAATGCATCCTGATGGTAACGCCGCCAACAGCGCCTCTGGGTTCATACTGTAAAGAAGGACTCTGAGGAATTTATACATTTTCTCAAACATGTTTAAACAATTTAACGCAGAGTCTCTGCAGGAAATGTTCTACCAGGAAATCTTCATCTCACTGACTTTCTCTATCAGTTCTTCAGCATTCGTCTGGAGTCGCGGCGTTCTTCGTGTAAACAGGATGTTTGCGTTAACCTTGCAAATAGTTTCTGCTCCCGCATTTGGATGGAGGATATGATAGAGAAACGTTTGTCATATTTTATTCAGCATTGACTGATAAAATCAATTATTACAGTAGATAACAGACATGTTAGGATAAAGAACTTCTAGTTACAATATGTACATTTTTACAGCATTTTCACCAGAACTCCAAATCATTTTAGTTACTAATGGTTGGTGAAGTAAACAGAATAGAATAGAATAGAATAGAATAGAATAGAATAGAATAGAATAGAATAGAATAATAGAATAGAATATGTAACCCACAATTAGTCAGAGACTTTTATTTTTTCAGGCCCACTTCCTGTGTTGCCCCAATTTAGTTAGCTTCTTTAAAGCCCCGCCTCAAGCATGCAGTTAAAGGAATAGTACACCCAAAACATGATAAGCCTTCATTTTCTACTCACCCCCATGCTGAACAACACTCTGGAGTACTTTTTTGATATCTCAAATGCATCTGTAGATCTGGGAGGCTTCTTGCTGTCTGCTGACATTCAAATAATGGAGGTCTATGGTGCCTGAGGCAGAAAGGTCCATAAAAGTCCACAAAAAACGTGTCAATATTCCTCCATACTGCTCGTTCAATGTATTCCAAGTGTCCTGAGTGGGTAGCATCCAGAATTTACTCGAAACGAAGTCATTTAGAATGTTTTTAGAGCATAAACAGTAGTGTATAGGATTTCCTAAAAGCGCGCGCCTGCGAGTTCACGACGCTACGGAAACCGCGGCAGACCAAACCAGCGCATTCAGCTCGGCAAAGAACTCATGCTCTTCCTCAACACTGAAGTCCTCAGACATTTTTCTTTCGTTGTTTCTTTCTTTGCACAGGTAAACAGCACATTTCTTCTTCTACGCTTGCATTATCGGCAGAGCAGACGCTGAATGCGCACTTTCATCTGGTTTGGTCTGCAGCGGTTTCCGTAGACTCGTGAACGCGCTTTCAGGAAATCCTATACACTACTGTTTATGCTCTAAAAACATTCTAAATGACTTCGTTTCGAGTAAATTCTGGACACTACCCACTCAGGACACTTGGAATACATTGGACGAGCAGTATGGAGGAATATTGACACGTTTTTTGTGGACTTTTACGGACCTTTCTGCCTCGGGCGCCATAGACCTCCATTATTTGAATGTCAGCAGACAGCAAGAAGCCTCCCAGATCTCCAGATGCATTTGAGATATCAAAAAAGTACTCCAGAGTGTTGTTCAGCATGGGGGTGAGTAGAAAATGAAGGCTAATCATGTTTTGGGTGTACTATTCCTTTAAGGAGCCTCACCTGTTTCCACTGTGATTGTGGCTTGCTGCTGGTGTCTTCTGCATTTCTCCAACTGAAATCTTTAACCCTATTGATTTGATTGCTGGAATTATTGGCATTGCTTTCCTGGACCATCGCTGGGATTCTGCCAGAGCTGATTGTGGCTAAGTACACCCCACTCTCTTTGAAAAGGCCGGGGTTTTTTTTTTCTTCTTTCCCCTTTGGATCAGATCCTCATCTGGATCTAAAGATGGCGAGCTAGTAATGGACTATGGACTTTATGATTTTAAAATTAATTTGTTTTGAGTCAATTCTCTTGTCATATTGTGTTGCTGTAATTTTTCTGTTTTATTCAACCACCTAATATACATCCACCAAACCTAAAAGCACTGCGTTCTGTTTTTGTTCACTCCTCAGGCTCCTTAAAAGGACACTCTTCTGATGCTGCTTTTGTGGCCGCAGTTAGCTTCCTAGCCCATAACTGTTACAAATAGAATAGAATAGAATAGAATAGAATAGAATAGAATAGAATAGAATAGAATAGAAAAGCAGCGTTGTATAAAGTACTGAAATCTCGGAGTCAAGTAAAAGTATAAATACCGCCCCAAAATATGACTTTGGTAAAAGTCCAAGTCACCGACTGAAATGTTACTTGAGTAAAAGTCTTAAAGTATCTAATATGGTTTGTACTTTAGTATCAGAATTATTGTAAAAATAAATGTACTCAAGTAATGTAGTGAAAAGTAAGTGCACTTTGAATGACATTTTGGTAAACTTTGAAGGTTAAATTCACTTAAAATAATATACACAACCAGTGTAGGATAAATTTAGACCAGGTTTTATTACAGCTACTGTTATTGACATCATTACACGGAAGCTTATCCACGGAAGAGAAATAGGGCCACTAAAAAAGGAAAAAGTAAACTGATTTTTAAATTTAATTTCAGTTTAACATGGGACAAAAGTAGGAATTCTGACTTTAATCTCAGAATCGTGATTTTTTTTCTCTCAGAATTCTGACTTTAATCTCAGAATTCTGACTTTAATAATTTAAGAATAATTAATATAAATACTGTGCACCTGGAGAATAAATAACCAATATATACCCAGGAAGATAAATGTTCCTAAGTAATATTACACCTAGATTAATATTCCTGTGAAAGAATATTACTTAGGTAAAAGTAAAGGATAATTACTTATAAAGGTAGTTTTCCCCTGAAAAACAGATTTTTAATCTCAGTGGTAACTTTCCTAGTTTAAGATTTAAGTTACTTAAGTTAATGTAACTAGTTACTACTCGCTGCTGTTGATCTAGTAATGTTTCTTTACTTGTTGGGTTGCTTCCCTTCTCTGTTGTCTTATCTGTTTATTTTGTCTTCAGCTCTCTCCATTCAGATGTTTAAACAGTGTCTTATGGTTTGTTTACGGAAACCTTCAGAACCACTACAGGCTCCCAGCTCCATGGTATTTATTCCTCATGGTTCCCTGCTAGTTTTGTCATTAAACTTTTTTTTTTTTAATCAAAAGTTCATTTTACTTTATCTTTTCAGGCCAGAACCCTAAAATCAGTGTTATGAATCTGTAGAGTGTGAAGTTTGATACCAGATCTGCAGATCATAAAATCTACCAACATCTGAGGATTCAGCGTTGGACATCGTTTAACAAGAATTACTCTAAAAGGAAGAAGAGGTTCTAAGCCAGGGGTATCCAACAGGATTCAACTTGTTCCTGTTTCTTCTGAAAACTTCAATCATCTCCTTGTTTTTTATTGACATTAAGGATCAGATGCTTGTTTTCACAACATGCCACAAAGCGGTTCTCCAGCTCTCTGTACTCATCTTCTTGTCCGTCCTTGATGCACACAATGGTGACATCTAAGTATTAATTTCTGTATGTTTGGGCCTATAAATTGAACAATAATATCGCGCATGCTCTCCTCGAGCTCAGAGGAAGTCGGAGCGGAGTAAGACGGGAGGAACAGCGGAGCTGAACAGCGGCCTCCTCCGCACATGGGGTCACACAAAATGGCCAAATCGCAATGAAACAAGCTCCTCCCAGTTTTACACGTATCCTTACAACAGAATAGTGAAATCAATTGTGTGCTCCTTCTAACAGAAACATAATATGTCATGGTTTTGGCTCTGTTCAAGTTTTATCTTTAAGTTTTCATTGGTTTTATTTCCATTTCGTTGTGATTGTATTTGAGTTCTTAGGTATTTCTTGTTTGCCCTCTGTTGCCATCTTGTGTAAGTCTCCTTTTCCCATCTAGGCTCCTCTTTTCACACCTGCTCCCAATCTGCTAATTAGCCGGGTCTTTGTTTCTGTCTCCCATATATACACCTCCTGTTCAGTCACTATTGTCGGTTTGTTGTCATTTCTTTGCCCCTTGTTGTGAGTATTCCTGGTTCTCAGTTGGTGTGGACTTACATATGTTCGTGGATTTTTCCTTCTATTACCCTTTTTCTTATTAAATCTGCAAGAAACCACTTCATCTTCAGTCTCTGCATTTGGGTCCTCCGTAAACCTCCACCCAACCTGACATAATAGAAGCACCTCAGGGGGTGCAGGACTCAGTGGCTCAGATCTTACTGCATGGAACAAAGGAAACAGAGGCCATCAACAAGTGCTGTCATAACTCTGTCTAGTTATTTGACCTCTCATACCAGCGGCAGGTCAGCGTGACGCAACCAGCGCCGCAGTGAACGAGGCTCAATAGTTACAACAGGAATCTTCTTTGACTCTAAGCCTTATTGACGTTTGAAAATGTTCTGGATAAAAGAAAATCATATCAATGAAAAGCAGGTGGAAACTTCCACATGGGAATGGTTAAAGCTGGTTTTAATTAGTATAATTTTGACCTCTGGGGAAAATAATAAAAGAAAAAGTTGGCCAAATGAAGCTCTCCATTACAAAAAACAAACATATAAAGGTGAGGAAAATAGCAAATGTGACAGAAAATGGATGGATGGATGATTCTTCCAAGATTTATTTCAGTTTTAGTTAAATCTTTGCAGATTCTGGGGCTCGTGCATTGTTCTGGTTTGTCCTTAAGGGGGCAGCAAAGTCTCAAAAGTGAAGTCGGAAGCTGTCTGAGCTAAACTG